TTTTTTTTTTTTTTTTTTTTTTTTTTTTTTTTACTCCCTATCTCACTCCTATTTCTGAAGTTTGTGTTTATTTCTTTCTTCACCTGTATATCCAGTGACAAGCTGTATAAGGAAACAAGGGATCTCAACTTCGAAGTGGTTGTCCAGGTTGATCTAGTTTTATCAACTTAATTTAGTGCATTGTAATTAACTTCCTTTTTCTCTTCATCCCTTATTTTGAAGTTTGCATGTAAAATTGTTTTAACCCCCTTTCTTGAAGTTCCATTTTTTTAATTGTTATCTTCAGCACAATTGCAGATTCTACGTCAAAAAGCTATGTCCATGAAGGAGGACTATGCAGAGATGTCAACAACCGTAAGGAGTTTATTCTTTTACCATATGATTGTCATTTCCTGTATGTTCTTTTTCCAGCTCGTCATTAAGTTGTCATGTCTGTGTCATGTTGTCGTCCGTTCTGAAAGGCTTGATGCTTCTTTTTTCCTGTTGTATGATAAATTGTCAATCTAGACATTTATTTCTAATAACTCAAAGAATTAAGAAGGAAAATCTTGTTCAACAAACTTTAATTGGTAGTTCATGTCTAATGCAGACGCAGTCCGTTTCTGAGTTGAAGGACTTCGTTAAAAAGCTTAATTCGTTGCCAGAAATGACAGTAAGTATCTTCTACTTTTTCTTTTTCTTTTTTCTTCCTTGAAGACTTATCGAGGGGCATTTTTCTTACATGATAATAAAATCACTATTTGCCACAATTTCTTTCTAGAGGCACATTAACCTGGCTCAACACTTGTCGACGTTTACTTCAAAGCCATCCTTCCTTGGGCAGCTTGACATGGAACACACAATTATTGAAGCTGAAAGCTATGACATGTAAACTATTATTTTACTTGAGTTTTTGGACATAAATTGTGTTTGTTGACTTGAACTTTTGTTATATATAATTCTTGCAAGGAAAATATTGAATGCTTTATTTTCGTACGTGATGATGTAATATCCAGGAAAGGAAGGTTTATTTATGATCTTGTGCTTATATGATCAAAATTTAGAAATCTAGTTGTTGAAGTCTAAATGACAAAGCTACTTTTCATGTTCGTTGTGCAATGCCCTGCGTTTCTTGTTTGGTCTTCTTTATGGTGCTTTTGAAGTTCGTTTATGTTGACTTTTAAAAGTTAATTATCTTTTCAACTTCACATGTACTTGTTGTTTTTCCTCTATGTTTACGTTCTGCACATGCAAAGCAGTTATTATTCGAATAATTATTTAGAACAATCCTTTTTGTTTGTTTTTTTCTTTTTTTCTTTTTTTTCTTTTAATAGTACCCTGTCAAGTACATTTTTCAATTAAAGAAATCTCTTCTTTTGTTTAAAATAAAAAGTAGTTTTTAAGAACAGTTTTTAAAGAAGTCCTATAGTTATCTTGAAAAGATACTTAACTAGTGCCTACCACTTCTGTAGATTGTGTTATGTGTTGGTGAAAATATTATAGTTTCTGCCTGCAGATGTTTTGAGTACATTGAAGAATTGATTCATAAGCAGGAGCCTCTTGTTAAAGTCCTCCGTCTTCTCATCTTGCTTTCTGTTACAAATTCTGGTTTACCTAAAAAGCAATTTGACTACTTGAGGTAAGAATTATTCCATTCAGATTTTTGTTTCCTTCCATTAATTAGGATAATATTGGTGCCTTAACTTAACTTGCATTTTTAGGAGAGAAATACTTCACAGCTATGGGTTTGAACACATGGGCACATTAAATAACATTGAGAAAGCGGGATTAATTAAAAAACAGGTTGGGCCCTCTTCATCTAGATTGAGGGAATTTGTGGTGTACTTTTGAATATTCAAGATCTTACATCATCCATGAAAATGTTCAACCATGATTGTTACGGTCTATTCCTTGCAGGAGTCAAGAAGCAACTGGCTGACTATCAAACGTGCTCTGCAACTTGTTGTAGACGACACAAATACAGTCAAGTATTCTTCTTCTTCATCTTGTTACCAATTGTTTTATAGTTGGATTCTTAAATAATTTCAAGGCACATGCGGATCCGCATGCAGCAACGTTTTTTCTTTTGATATTACATTATAGTTTTGTATGTTAGCAATATGTGATATCTTTTCATCTGCTACATCGTAGAACTATGTTTTTTTATTTTAAAATTCAATATTGAAAAAGAAATGAATGCTGTCATTTTCTAATCTATTTGAAAGCTCCTAAATCCTATTGTCTTATACTTTAATGTTTCTTCCCTTTATCTTATGCTTTCCATTTTGGAATTTCTCTTCATTTATGGCTTCCAGCAGCTATGAGCTGAAACCATAAGCATATTAACTTTTACTGTCAAGATATAAAACTGTGTTGAATTAGCACTTGAGTTTTGAGTTTATATAATAATTGCTTTTGGAAAAGTAATACTCAAGTATTTGATATGGATTTCTACCATGATAGACTTGGCCAGTTAAATTTTTGCTCCAATTTAGGAGTGTTCTTCTCTTCTTTTTTTTTTCTTTTTTTTTTTCATTTAGTAAAATACTGCCTTTTTACCATTTTTCTACCTTAATTAAAAGCTTCTTATGGTTCAATATAAAATTGTGGCAGAGTTGGCCTCTACTCTACATTTAGAGGGATGTGTTCAAGAGAATTATACAAATGATGATGCATTGATGAACAAATATTATTATTTTTAAATGTTGAGTGAGCCAGATTGTAAGAAACGAAATAAAAAGGGAACATTTATCTTTTTACTCATTCGTATGAAGGGATCTTATTGTAATGGACTTTTCATTCGGGGCCTGTCTAGCGATTGTTAGCATTTTACAATTGGCACCTCTGATTCATACCCAGTTTAGAATTGCATGTGATCCTTGTTTCCACCATCTTATGCCAAAAGTGCTGCTCTACATGGTGAAATTCAGTGCAAAGTTATTCTTTACAAAACGTCTGCCTTTTTGGCTGTCAATAAATTTTGACTTCTATTTATTATGGTGCAGCCCAACTGATATTGCCTATGTCTTTTCTGGATATGCTCCTCTTAGCATTCGTCTTGTCCAGCAAGCTGTTAGGTCTGGATGGTAAGCCTTTTTTATTTTGTGAAAATTTCTAATATTTACAAGGTTAAAATATCATTTTGGTCTCCATACTTCGAAACTTATTTCATTTTAGTACGGTCCAAATTTGGTCCTTGTCCTTTCAATATAACCTAAAATTAGTATTATGGTTAGTTTCAAGTTAATTTTTATGACTTAATAAAAGAATAGGCATAATTTTCATTTAAAAAAAGACGCCATGTGAATGTATTTACCTAATTTTTAGGCAAAAAGCTTATAGGGACTAAATATTTGTACCAAAAATGAACCATGGGGACTAATTTTGAGATATATTGAAAGTAGAGGGACTAAAATGAAACAAGTCCCAAAGTGTAAGGACTAAGCAATCCTAGCCTTTTCTTGTTACACTTTTAACAATGAATATTGTGAAAAAAATGGCACAATTCTAATTTGCGATCTCATTCTAAGTAATTTTGTATTTAACTTTAATTGGGTTTGGTTTTCTGTAAGCTCTTAGGGCGGGATTGTTATAAGTGTCATTAATTTCATAAACTGTTTTCTTACTTCGCTAAATAATTTCCTTTTCCCATAATTATGTTTATTTTCATTCTCAAATTTATTCAGAAACTAAGGTATCTCTGTATGTATGTGCCTAAATTTTTGTACTTCCGGGTATGATTTACCTCCGTATTTCCAATTTCATCTCATTGCGTATATGTATCAGGCGTCCTGTTGAAGAAATTTTGAAGTTATTACCTGGGCCCCATTCAGAAACAAAGAGAGTCAGTAAATTTGTCTTCACAATTTTATGTTTTTTGTAATCTTGTTTCCTTTTATCTTGGCTTTATTTTTCATTATTCTGCTATCCTTATTTCTCTCTCCCTTTCCCGATCTTGATTTCTAAATCTAGGGTGGATTCCTTAGCAGTTCATCATACGATTCCTTGCAAGGGGCTTCAACCAGTAATGACAAGTAAGTCTCAACTCTCTCAATATATATGTTCAAGTATTGGTTGGTGTAAGACCAGTGTGATAAGATTTTATTAAAGGAAGTTCTATCCTCCAAATAATAAAGAGGCTAGTATTTATTTTAGCATTACTACAGCTGGTCGTGTAACTACCTAAAAAGAACTAACACCAACTGCCGCTACAATTCTCTAGAATCAGAATGAAAGGTTAGAAATCACAACTCTCCACAATGGTATGATATTGTCCACTTTGAGCATAAGCAATCATAGATTTGCGTTGGGCTTCCCCAAAAGGCCTCATACCAATGGAGATGTATTCCTTACTTATAAACTCATGATCATTCCCTAAATTAGCCAGGGTAGGATTCCCTCCCAAAAATTCTCAGCAATCCTTAACTCTCCATAATGGTATGATATTGTCCATTTTGAGCATCATGGCTTTGCGTTGGGCTTCTCCAAAAGGCCTCATACCAATGGAGATGTATTCCTTATAAACCCATGATCGTTCCCTAAATTAGCCAATGTAGGACTCCCTCCCAACAATTCTCAACAATCCTCCCCTCGAACAAAGTACCCAGTATAGAGCCTCTCCCGAGGCCTATGGAGCCCTCGAATAGTCTCCCTTTACTCGAGACTCGCAACTTCTTTGTTCGATATTTGAGTCATTTCTTACTACACCCTTTGTTTAACACTTGAGTCATTTCTTACTACACCTTCAAGGCTCACAACTTCTTTGTTCGATATTTGAGAATCCTATTGACATGGCTAAGTTAAAGGTGTGGCTCTGATACCATGTTAGGAATCACATCCCTCCACAATGGTATGATATTGTCCACTTTAAGCATAAGCTCTTGTGGCTTTGTTTTGGGCTTCCCCAAAAGACCTTGTACCAATGTAGATGTATTCCTTACTTATAAACTCATGATCATTCCCTAAATTAGCCAATGTGGGACTCCCTCCTAACAATCCTCGACATGCAAGAAGTCAAAATCCAGAAAACAAGGCAAAACAATTACAAGTGTAGCCCCTTTACAAAAAGTCAAGTATTATATCTTATACTGGAGTAGGGTGTTTTGGTCCTCTGGTTTTGCAATGTCCAACTTATTTGCTCGTGACTTAACGAATATGGATACAGAAATTGTGGAGTTTCTTTGTTTAAGAAGTGAGCTTCAGTATCATTGATATATTGGCTGTGAATTTGTTATATCATATAATATTGATCAGTATGCGATGCTTGTTTTCAAAATTACTACGCTAAAGAAAACCGAGAATAGACAATCGTTAATACAGTTTCCTCATAATGCACTGGTGAGTACTTCATTGATTTGACTTTGACAATTAAATGCTTCAACTTCTCATAGAGTGACGGATGGAAGGCGCACAGTCGTTCTCGTCGTTTTTATTGGAGGAGTCACATTTGCTGAGATTTCTGCTCTTCGATTTCTCAGTGGTCAGGTATGGAATTAACATTTTCTATTAAATTTTGTTGATCTTGTATGAGTTTAGAAAGTTTGATTTAATTAGTAAACTTGTTAGAACAGTTAACGTGAAGGTAGAAAATATTAGGAAGTTAATTTTCCAAAATAAAGAAATATTAAGAAACATTTTCTTTCGAATACAAGCTAAATTGCCCTAGTTATCATGTATCTATAATTAATCCGAATAATTGATATTGACATGTACATTAATGATAACATGTTACTGGAAGAGAGCAAATCAATGGTGTTTCATGTTTGTCACTTACGGTCATAACTTTGCATATGACCAGTAAGAGTTGGTCATATCTGTATAAGAACGTAACAGACCGAACGTGCCTAGCCATTTCTTCCATCAGCACAAACTGCTTCGCTGGAACGCCTACCTTAGTCATCTTTAGCTAAGAATGAAGGATATCTGCCATAGCTTGTCTAGTTGAATTCTAACGGGTTTTACGTCCAACTGAACCGAATCGAATTGAATCAACTGGATATGATTATCCTGCTGTTTTTAGGGGAAATCTCGATGCATTGTGTTCGGTATATGTTTCTTTGTAGGGCTTTCCCCCCCCAGAAATTCTCATTCGATTGTTCTCGTCTTGCAGGAGGGAATGGCCTACGAGTTGATAGTTGGTACCACGAAGATAGTTAGTGGCAATAGCTTGACTGAATCATTCATGGAGAAGTTAGGCTAGTTGTGTTTCTAAAAGGGAAATAAATCATTCATACATCTAAGCTTTTTATCTAATTTGATCTGCAATGCTCTCAAACCTTTTTGGTTCACTTAATACTTTGATCTTTTTGTCTCGTTTTTTTCTCTTTTGATTGAGATTAGTCGACCGTGACAATACAGAGTGTTGGTTTGCCCCTGTTCTTGCAGTAACCTGTATCCAAAAAACATGACCCAAGAGTGTAAAAATCCTCTTATTTTCTATGATTTGATATTCCATTTCTGATTACTTCAAAAGAACAGCCATTTGTGTAAGTAATCTTAGCACTTTCTTCACTAAATTTCAAACAAGAATTACATAATTCTACATGAAAATTTCTTCATTATAAATACAGTAATATTGTAGTATTATTAATGCCTTATAACTACAAGGGTGAAGATGGTCCATCAAAGCGTTGAAAGAGCTCTAGAATGCTTCCTGCTTTTCTCTTTGCTCTGTCTGTGCCATTCTCAGATACTTCTTTCAGTGCCTCTTCTGCACCATGCTCCCTAGCTAGCTTCAACTGCTCGAAATCGGTACTGCAAAGTGACCACAGCACGGCTGCAGCGTTTTCCCGGTTCCGTGGCGAACCAGTTTTGATGAACTCTAATAGAACCGCCATCGGCTCGGCTTGCCCTATTGCTACCTTTCCTTCATGGTGAGTTGCAAGAATGGCCAGAATAGCTAGAGCTTCATCCACCATGCCACCTCCAGTATCTTTCAGAAATCCCATGAGTGGACTCACAATGCCTGCTCTTAGAGCCCTTGCTTTGTTTCCCTGATAGATTGAAAGATTGAAGATAGCAGTGGCAGCGTCCTTCTTTCCTCTGGGAGTACCTTCACAAAGCAAGCTTATGAGAGCAGGAATCGCCCCAGCTACTCCGATGGCGACCTTGTTCTCGTCTATCACGGATAAGCTGAAAAGGGTCGCAGCTGCATTTTCCCTTGCTTCCATGCTGCCATTTTTCAGTACTTCAACAATAGCAGGAATGGCTCGGAGATCAACAATCGTTCTTTTGTTACTGTCGTTGATCGAAAGATTCAATAGTGCTGTAACTGCATGCTCCTGAGTCCTAGTATCGTTTGAAGATAATAGTTCGACGAGGAACGGAATGGCTCCCGCCTCGGCGATACAAATTCTGTTATCGGAATTCCTCTTCGCTAGTAGTCGGAGCTCACCAGCAGCTGATCTTTTCTGTTCTGGAGATCCATTAACCAGTTTTAGCAGTAATGCGTCGATAGTAGCCCGATCGCAGTCTGAAATACTGCTTCCGGGTTTCTTGCTTCTGCAGTTACCTTGCTTCCTAGGCAGTTCAACGCCATTGTTCTCACACCACAAAGAAATCAGGCTCTTCAAGACGTAATTTGGTGTTAAGGCTGTATGTTGTAAAGCTTGCTGCGTTTTTGGACAGGTTTTGTGCCCTGCATCCAACCATTTCTGAATGCAAGATCTCTCGTACGTCTGCAAGAGGTCACACGGTAGCGAGACGAATAAAAATAACAATGAGTAAAAAAAAAAAACATTGCATCAGTCAATACGACGCTCACCTGCCCAGTCGAGACAATGACGGGATCCCTCATTAATTCAAGAGATATGGGGCACCTGAAATCGTCGGGGATGACAGGAGATCTGTGTTTAATAGTCGTACTTTTTTCATCTTGAGAAGTTTCAACTTCGGGGTTTTCTGATTGTACATAATCCTTCAACTTCTTTAAAACGGACGACAGTTTACCAAAAACATCCCCCGGGTCTCCTCCATCGATCGAGATCACCAGCTCATGGATAGCTAACGACTCTTTCTTCAGATCGTTTATACTCCGAAGATGCAGTTTTTCAGAAACTCTTCTCAATATCGCAGGGTCAGGATCTTTTTCTTCCTCTAACATGACCAAATCCTTGCCTAACTCTGCATCAGCTGAACCTACTCTCTCTTTCGCTCGTTTGAATTGCGCATGAACAAGTTCGGTCTGAAACGGATCGAATAAGCAAAGTTCATCATTGGTAACTGGTAAGTGTATAACTCATCCAACTCAACTCATCAAAAGTTGATTCTAAGCATAGCAAACCTTATACACAATGAACATTCAAGGAGAGATAATAACCGTACCTGTTCTCGAACCTCATCCGAGATCCCGAGCTTGTCGATGGGAAGCTTGCTAAGTGCTGCTTCAATATCTTCAGTCATATGATGAAACTCAAGTACTAATTTCTCTAATTTCGAAGCCTGAGATGCAATAGTTCAATGAATTCAGGTAATAAGTTCAAAACAACTTGAGATCTTTTAATAAAAGTGTGGAAACCTCTCCATAGCAGAAAATCCAAGGAGAACAATATTTGTTAGCGGTGGGTTTGGGTTGTTACAAATGATATCAAAACTAGATACCGAGCGATGTGCTAACAAGAATGCTGAGTCATGAAGGGAGGTGGACAGGGACAGTATGTTAACAAGGACATTGGGCCTCAAAGATGGTGGATTGGAGTCCCACATCGATTGGAGAAGGGAACGAGAGCCAACGAAGATGCTGGTTCCCGAAGGATTCCACTCCGGAGAACAAAGCATTCTTTATAAGGATGTGGAAACTTCTAGTAGACGTCACAAACACAATTGAATGCCATATAATCACCAAAGCTAGAGATTAACAAGGCTTTTTTCTTCAAACAATGAAGTTCCTTGGCTGATCAACTTCTTGTTCTTCAATGAAATGATCAAATTTTCCAGAAGATTCACAGTTTCATCATCTCAGATTCCCAGCATCCAAACACAAAATTCAAGAACGCGAAACTTACAAGAACCAAAACAGAATTCAATACCTGAAATAGCTTGCTACCTCGGCTGACCGATCTAAGAAACTCTGCAGCAGAATCCAAAGCAATTTTCAGCAACTCCAAACCCTTAAGAACATCTAATTCAAGTTCTTCATCTCCATCTCTCAATTCCTCAAACAAAGGGCTTAACAGCTTCACTCTTCGAATCAAATCCCCATACACCTTCTTGCATATGCCGTTATACTCAGGAAGCCCCGAAATCTCCCTCAAAGACTCCCCCAGTTGACTCACCACCATGTCTTTCAGGTCCTTCCCCGATGGACCCATCTCGATTTCCTGCAAAATGGTTAAGAATCGCCCTCGAATCCCTTGAATTCGAGGATTTTAAGAAGACCCAGATGAGAGAATCCGTTCAATTTCGATTGAACTGTTCAAACTAGGACGATTTAGTAAGAAATTTAGAACAGGGGCGCGTGGAAAACTCCATGGATGTTGAATTTGAAGATGGGTTAATGAAGAACGGTTGTATTTATAGTGCTGCCATTGAGGTAAAGTAATTGAATCACGAAAGATGAAGTTTTAGGCTTAGGTGAGCCATCGAGGGAGATGATTTCATTTGACATTGAATTGGGCAAATTTATATTTAATATTTGAGGGCTACGTGATGTAACTTTTTTGGACATTGGAGAAGACTTCGGCCGCTTAGGGCATGTTACGGTTGAATTTCTGACTAGACTTTTAACGAAAAAACACATAGAGATCGTATGGATATGAAAAATTTTGCTATCGACGTTGCTAACGATGATGTGGGAGCTGGTGCCAACTTAATATGTGGACGTCGAGGAGATGGTTGTGATCTTCCTACTCGTCGTTGTGCACGATATGAATAAATGAATGATGAAGTGAATAGAATACTGCGAAGATAATTTGTGAGATTTGACACGTCAGTGTCTAGACACTTCAATGTTGTTTTAGATGTGATGATTAAACTTAAAGTGAGATCGCACGTCAGTTGAAGAGGGGAACGAATCATTTATTACAAGGGTGTAGAAACCTCTCCCTAGTCGATGAGTTTTAAAATCTTGAGGGGAAGTCCTTGAAGGGAAAACCCAAAGACGACAAGATCTGCTATTAGTGGGTTTGGACTGTTACGAATGATATTAGAGCCAGACATAGGGCGGTGTGCCAACATTGACGCTAGCCCCCAAAGGGGTGGATTGTGAGATTCCACATTGGTTTGAGAGGGGAACGAACCACTTCTTATAAGTTACACTTAAGTTGATCACGAACACCTCCACAGATGAAAAATAGTGATGGTTTGAGGTTCCACAACTTCTCCGCTCATTTCCAATACTGATCGTGAAACACCATGAGCAGCAGAATGTTGAGGTCTGAAATTCGAAATGAAATTTGTACTTGCATTACCTAATTCTTCGAACTATATATATGATTTCACGGTTCAACCACTAAAACCAAATCTCTTATTCTATCGCAACTAAAGTCAACATAATTGTAGTAATCGCCTATGCTACATGACTAGAAATGTGAGATTGTCACAAATGCCCTTATCGTGTGTTCCCAAAACTATGAATTCATATTCATCCTCCCTCGATGGGCCACGGTTGGATTGAAGGTCCCAAGTAGTAAATAATTGAATTTTCACTTCGACCCTATACGTACATGAACAATACATACCTAAGTGTGAGTATTTATATTTTTTATGTATTTGATATCCGTCATCCCAATATATAAGAATTTTTGGCTCTACCGTGAAGATAATGGTACCATGTGATTTATTGTCCATTAAGATTTATATTCTAAAGTCTCGTAATTAATTATTTTACTATTATTTTATTTATCATTTATAACTTTTGTAATTGATTCAATATATCTATCATTTTGATGAACCGAACATTCTTTTATAAGAGTGTGGAAACTTCTCCCTCTCCCCAGCGTACGCGTTTTAAAAATCTTGAGGGGAAGCCCGAAAATGAAAGTCCAAAGAAGACATTATCTGCTAGCGATTGGCCTAGGCCGTTATAAATGGTATCAGAGCCCAACATTGGACGATGTGCCAGCGATGAGGCTGTTCTCCGAAGGGGGTAGACACAAGGAGGTGGTATACCAGTAAGGATGCTGGCCTCGTCCAGCAAGGAGACTGTTCCTTGAAGGGGGGCTGACACGAAGAGACGGTGTGTCAGTAAGGACGTTGGACCCTGAAAATGATAAATTTGGTGGGGTCCTACATCAATTAGAGAAAGTAACAAGGACGTTGAGCCTTAAAGGAGGGATGGATTGTGATATCCCACATCGGTTGAGGAAGAGAATGAAAGTGTGGAAACTTCTCGGTATCAGACCCTTTATTTAGATATATATATATATATATATATATATTATTTGAAATAGTG